CTCGTTCAAATTCGCCGCTGCATTATTCCTTCTCTTCGATTGTCAGTTCACGAGAAACGCAATCACGACAGTTCCGTGGGTCTGCCAATCGTAAAGATAAGGAAAACACAAAGACTTTATCGAGGAGACACTTCGCGTATGCGATCCGCGAAAGTGCACTCCGACACACAACCAACGCGTAATTGGCGGTAAAAATGAACAACTGATAACGCGGCACATTAATGCACAACGCTCTTTGGAACTATCTCCGTGATAAACCAGACCAACTAACTAGAAATCGCGCCATCTACAAGAGAGAGCGACAGAGATTGAATTCTGATGTTCACTGTTCACTGCCAGTACTGAAACTAATAGTTTGTGTAACGTATGTACACTGTAGCATTTCAGTACTGGCCGTGAATCAGTGTTGCGATATGGGACCGGTTGTATGCGCATGTGCGACAATACGGCATCAATACAGTGTCTCATACAAGTTAAACAAGGCACCGTTACCCCGCTACATTAAAAATATTTCTAAACTTTTTGAAATTGATTGAAATTTTCTACTTCTTGGTTTTTTAGCTGCTGGCTTCGTAGATTCCATGCTTGTAAATAAATAAATCTTACCTTATTTGTAGTCACCTAACCTTCTCATGTCAAAACGTCCCGCCATACGGTCAACACACAACATATAACGGCACAGGATCTCCATCACCGCACATGCGCAGAGCCGCACATGCGCATATAACCGGTCCCATATCGCAACACTGGATCGAGGTAGGAGTAGAACGACACCTCCTTAAAGTCGGAATAGTTCTGTATATACAACGACCTACTGTAACATGTACGGATTCTCAAGCTACTTTTTGCTTTTCACGGTTCTGGATCTCGACGTCGTCGCAGTTTCTACATTCCGCGGGACAAGTGCACAAGCATGCGTGCAACTACTCAACCCCTCGTTGCACTGGGTCTTGAGCAAGAACAAGCAGTGCAGAACAGTGCGAGAATCGGGTAAGTTGATAATGATGAGAAATTTAAAAAGTACCCATAACTTATTATAAATATTAAAGTAACCTATTTAATATTTTTATATAGAAAATTAATTCGTCTACTAGAGACATTATTCTAAATAAGTTATTTATTAAAATAATAATTAATGTAATAATTTAAATCGCCGTTCTACACAAAATTGATATGTGAAATAGTTTCCTCAATAATAATAATTTATTTCTACTTTACTTTTTTCGAAATTTCTTCTCTTTTTTTACATAACTTGATATTCTTTTATATACTTAAGCATAAATCGCATTTACATCAAGGTAATTGATATAACTAAAACAGCATGCGAAATTGAATTGCATTTTAGTTGCTCTTTACACCTTGGTGCGAAAGATCAAGTCATCGCACGCTGTATCTGCGCACTAACTGCTGAGTGTGTATTATCTCTTATAAAAAGTTCTTTGTGGTAAATTTCTTTTCGGTTTCAGAATAAATAATTCTTGTGCACAAGACACTTTCTTTAATATTTAATCCATGTTTTTTTTTCTTTTGCACCTTATTCCACGGACAAGTATCCTCATACAAAAACTTACTTGCAACATCATTAATTTTTTTCGATTTTTTAATGGTGTTGTTAACTATTAAAACGTTTTCCATCGTGAAATCTTTCTCAAAAGCTCCAAGTTGCCCTTTCTTTGAGTTTAAGAGGATGCTGGAGTTCTGTTTTACCACATAAATGCTGTATTTTTCCTGACTTTTTTCTAACAAATACAGCTTTTTTCTGCCTGCATAGAATTAAAAATCCTTTTGCAGGATTAAAGAGCACACAAAAAGGGAATTCGCGTTGGTCGAAAAAATTCGGAAAAATAAAGTTATTTATAACATTAATTTTTATTGACATACTCTTAGGATAACATGTCTTTTAGAGCTATCAATTTTAGCTTTTTATAAAAGTTTAACGATTTTAATACACCGAATAAGAGCAGCGCGAATTGCGCACTGCATAATAAAATGTTATGAAACCATTAAAATTGGGCTGAAAAGTCTAATGTAAAAAATATTCTTGTCCGACTATTTTTACATACGTGTGCGTCCAATATCGGTATAACAGATGAAAAAATAACAGAAGATTAGTTCCAGGATAATATCAGAGAGGCGCTATACAATAATATGCGAATTTATACACGCACCACACATACGCATACACAATACATTCATACTTAGATTATGACTTATGCCGATAATATCACTCTAATTTTTAGTTCCATCGAAATGATGGCGCTTTCGCGTCGGAGTTCGTTAGGCACTCCAGG